TCGATGCTCAGACTCCATCTTTCCTAATTCCATTACTCTAGGATGTGCACGAAGAAAAATCCCCCTCCGAAGCAATCCCTTTTGCCAGTAAGAGCACCAAGGTATAATTAGACATGTTTGAAATACGCAGAAACAAGAAGGCTGAGGTAGGGAACTGTCCCTTCCTATTTATTCTAACACCCCAAATTGAAGTGGTAGGATTTTCACAGTTCCTTGAACAAAATAAGGAAGTTATGTGCAGCACATATCATGCATGTAGATGTTTTCAGGGTTATTCTAACTGCTTATAAATTGCTTGGTTTTAAACTATTCTGGAAAAACAGTTTAAAAAGCTGTAAATCTACTATTATAGTATAGTCTAACTGCAATCTACCATAAGGTCATTATGACAAAAAAAACTGTAAAAGGTCAAAACTGGAATTAAGTCATTTAAAAAAAACCCAAACAGTTTTTAGGTGACGGACCTGTAAGAACTTTTGAGGGTTTTACTGAAGCCTGGTATGAACTTGCTCAACAATAATGATGCTGCAGGAGTGTGTACATTGCCCTTTTACTCCGGGTGACGGTTTCCATTGAGATGAAAGAATACAAAGGCAAAAAAATTATTGTTATCATAGGAAAAACTGGGTATGCATATACATCGCACCATAGTCTATGCTAAAGATCAATGGAAACTTACTGCCGAAGTTACAATAAAACAGCAATGTTAAAGCAACAACATTATACTATTGAGCATCCGCACGTACTAGATCACCTACTGCTGGTAATACTTGAAAGCAGGGATTCTCTGCAACTTTTTAACTGTATGGCCCACATCTTAACTATATCGGTTATATTGCCTCTGTTTAGCTCCCTGAACTTTCCAAAATCTGCATGGCATTTGTAATTTATGTGCTGGATGGATGGGGCTTGGCTTTGGTGAGGGAGAAAGGGATCAAGAAATAGGCCTCGTTTAAGGAATGAACTGGTTCACACTGAAGCCAAAGAGCTGAGGCAAAGACAACCCTTTAACAACATCTCAATCTAAATTTGTCACTTTGATGTCGGGATGCGCAAATCTCGGGGTTAGCAGCAGTGTGAATCTTTGTCTTGAAAGAGTGCAAGTCAACTGCCTGAGCTTTTCTGTTTCCTCCAGGCACGGCTACAGGATGCACGTGATGCCTGGCCTGAAGCGCACTGCTGATGCCAAGTGGGCAGTTTAGAGTTTTTATGCATCAGTATTTGTTCTAATGGACCGAGGTGTCCAGTGTATGAAACAGAATGTACGAGTGATGATCCTGGGTATCCCATAACAAGTGACACCGAGGCTTTCTTAGACGACTTCTCCTTATAAGAAGCTAAGCTCTTAGCGTTGATTAGTGTGACTAAACCACCACTCCAAAGCCAGAATCAAGGAGGCTGCGGGCCAGTTGACTGGGTATAGATGAGTGTACAGTAGCAAGGAACTTACATTTTGCTTTTATGTGGTGTATTCACATGAGTATCAGACTAATGCAGATTAATTTGCCTTATAACTGTTAAGACACACATACTGCATTAGACAGCCTTCACTAGAAGATGTACAAGTTATAAATTAAGGTATAACCAAGGTATAAATAAAAAGCTATAAAAAATATTTAAGCGCTATAAATTTCCAACTGGTATAGCCTAATACCAGATTACTATGGTCCAGATAGGAATTTAAGGAAATGCTATTTTTGATAAATTCTGATCACATAAATGCACACAGGATCTTTGGATATGGAATGAGGATGTACATCAAATGGACCATCTGGCAGGTACGTGCTCTACTTTGGAAAAAAGCCATCATCAAACAAAGCAGGGAAGGATGGGTCATGCATACCCCATAATTATTAGTTTGATACAACTGGATACACTTTCAAAAGAGAACAATAACAAATGACATTCCTAAGGCATTCCAGCCACCACAGAGCATCACGTCATCACTGACAGTTACTTTCCTCATATCACTTGTCATATTTGCAGATTAGTATCTGCAAATAGAACTAGGTTTTCCATAAATTGTTATCATTTCTGATATTCAGCATGTGAATTAGGATGGAAAATAATTTGCTGACAGGTCTTCAAAGCACTGCATGCTCAGGTTCACACTTCCCCAAAACTTTTCATGTTTCAGTTTAACTGCTTTTATATACTTGTGCAAGTTTTTATGCATCTATTCCTTACAGTACTGGGAGATTTATTTATTTAAAGTCTAACAACTAAGCAAGATGTCT